CTGCAGTTGTCTCTTCAGCAGCTTTTAAGGTAGATTCAACACCACAAAAATCAAAAAACCTTTCTCTGGGTTTGTTATTTGAACAACAGTCTTTTTTGAGTACAGAGGAAAAAAAAAACACATTTTTTTCAGTCTGTAAATGATAGCTTTCTGTCTGTAAACCATTTTCATGAGGTAGATTTCAGTGGATTATCTTTTGCCTCAGTTTATTTTAAATCCATGCCAGTTACAATAATTCTTATTGAGTTATCTGTCTACTCTGATTGCGACATTTAAAGAGAAGTGCCTAAATCCTGCATTTTGGTAACTGATGCAGTAATGGTAAATCAACATGTATGAGTCACACAGAATTTTGACTTTTGCCATAATGTATCAAAAAGAACATATTAAAAGCAATATTTAACATGTTATTATCACAGTATACCAGAGAATTGAAAACCTGCCTCATATTGAGAATGTCCAGTGAGTAACAGCGAGGCCTGCACTTAGCACTGCTCATTTATAACTAGAAAACCTGCTTTTATCCACAGCAGAGGGACAGCCTCTCTGGCAGCCTCACTCTGTTAGGAGACGAGGGAACTGGATGAAGAAACAGTGGGGAGGGTGCTGTTGTCTGTGCCCACATCTTTGTAGTGGCAGCTGAGGGGTTTCACTGCAACTCCTAGAATTTACATTTTGTTTGGCCGGAGGGGTCACATGACAGCTGCAAGCAAATGCTCTGAGGGGCTTTCTGCTTTCACTTGACACTGACAGACTGTGAGACAGTCCAACACCACAGAAAGAAAATATTCCCTTTTTCCATGACATCACCCAGCCAGGAATGGGGGAAGTGGAGGGAGCAGAGGGGCACAGCTGGTGGCAGCCGCAGTACCATCTGCTACTGACTAATAGTTCATGCTGCTTTACTTATAAACTTGCACTTCTGTGAATCAGAGTAGTGGCTGTTTGGTCACCATCACAGAAAACATGGATACATTTGAGACTGACCATCTTCTAATATTACATTTTTTGGCACAACCATGCGTTGATACTCGTTTTGTTTTTTCTTGTTAAAGGAATAGTTCACATTTGGGAAAATATGCTTATTCACTTTTTTGCCTCAATTTAAATGAGGAGACTGATACCATTCTAATATCGGTCTGTTAAATACAAAACAGCAGCCAGCACTGAACCCAAATACCTAAGCAAACAGGTTGTGGATTTAAGAGGGGTTATGTGCCAGTATATTTCATGGCAATGTGCAGTTACTTCCTGTAGGTCAAAAAATATTCTCACACACAGCCACCATAACACCACAGCTGGCCTTTTTCACACTTTTTGTACAGATTAACACAAATTAATAAACATGTTAACTCTGGGCTTTTGAGGCTTTTAAGGACAGACATGAGTGGTGCCAACAGCCTCATTTAGCTCTCAGTAAGACGCCAAATAAGGGTATTGCCTTAGTTGCTCATTTTTAAACTATTTCTTTCAGCTCCTTCAGTTTTCACTTTTTAGAAAAACATGCGCCTAAAAAGATAACACTTGGGTTAAAACTCACACATCTGTACTAACCATACATCTTTCCCTCATCGGAGAGGATGATCTTCCTGCGCCCACATGGAGGATAGATGGCCAGGGCCTCCTGGAAGCTCTGTTCAATGTCAGGGCTCCACACTCCCTCTGCATCGTTGTCTACAGGCTTGTCTGCCGAGTCGCTCATCCTCTCCATGTCCTCGGCAGGGCTCTCACTGCCACTCCAGCTGCTGGGATCAATTGTGGCGGTTGGGCTCTCCAAGCTGAAGCCTGGAGCAGACTAGGGAGAGACCTGGAATTTCCAAATAAACAAACACAACCAAACATCACTGTCTATAGCAGAACAGTGGACATCTGCTTATAAAAAACAAAAAAAGAAAAACACACACACACACAAACACAAAACACTATATTAGCTGAGAGCACAATATGGAGCAGAAGCAGGCAAACAAGCTTGGATGTCACTGAGAATGCTGTTGTCCACGTTTGTCATCCAGTGGCTGTTGACAGCATCTTTCAGATGTAAATGTGTGTAAATGTGATTGTGAAGAGAGACATTTCTTCAGAAACACATTCTTTGACACAGGATTATGCTGCACAAATAAAAGTAGGAAAAACAAAATTGTGGCCACTGATCTGTAGAGCGTACATCACTAGTCAGCCACAGCTGTTGCACAATGATGGCATATAGAAATCAGACATTCAAGGCACACAGAGAAACCACAGTACTTTATAAAAGCAGGCTGGAGACCTGCAGGCTTCACAGAAAAAAAAAACTATTGTTTTCTGACTCCAACGTTTTCTGACTCCAACACAATACAGTAAGAACCCTTTGTGCATCTTACCAAGCTGGAGAAAGTCTCACATCACCAGCACCTACACACAGCGCACAGAAAACTGGGTATCTCCAAAGGTGTGCGTGTTCATACATTTTTGTCACTTCTGACCTTCTTGTGGTGTTTATATTTTGTTCTACATGAACAGTTTGGATGGCCCTAAACTTTTGTCTCCACAGACCCTCATGACAATGGGCAGATCACACATGTTCCCTTAGTAGCAGGCCTCTGCAGACTCTCACAAGCACACATATGCACAAAGTGTAAATTGACCTTTACAAATTATGTAAAAAAAAAAAACAAAAAAAAAACGTAAAGGTTATCTCTCCGAGCATGTCCGCTCCTGATCCTTAATCTTGCAAATGCTGATGAGTAGGTGAACACCTTAGTGTCACAGCAAGGAAGACAGCTCAAGCAAACAGGTAAACACTAAGCATGTAAGACACTGCTGTTTTGAGTAAATAAACAACAAACACATTACAGTAAATGATACACAAGGCACTAACTAAACCCAAAGCATGCAAGCACATCTTCTCAAAAGAGAGAAAGACTGGAGATAAACAAGGTAACACATGGTTTTGGATCTGGTGTTGGTGTAGGTCTCATTCAACCAATCAGTAAAGAGGAAATACTCTGACAGATCATATAAAGAAGACTTGTTCAAGCTGCATTTTCCAGTTATTCAATGCAACTGCCCAACTTTACTCACATGGTGCAACCTGAAGTATTATGTCCGTTTATTTCATCTAAACATAGTAGGTGCATGGCTGTAGTCAGTGAACAAATTCAGATGTTAACCGTTGTCCTGCTGATGTGTTGCTATCACTGCACACGCTTTTGAGAACAGATGTACTGCAAGATGTTCCCTACCACATTTTTGGTTCAAAATTATGTGACATTGTTCCAGGTTTCACTCCCATGCAAGAATAGTCACTAACAATTAAGTATGAGTTTTTACCTTCTAGCTCAAAAACAAATCCAGAAACAGATTTGTCGGCTTGCAACATAAAGAAATCTCCAAGTGTGCTTCAACTTTCAAGTTGCTGTGGTCTTTAGCATTCACTCAGTATTTAAAATAGTTTCATGTTTTACTTC